CCTTTGGAAGTCTGGAGGAAGACTCCGGAGCCCTGCTCGAGCAGCTCACAAAGGAAGAAGGGAACAGTCTGCCTGCCTGTCTGCCTAATTCCAATGAGACCTCCCTTCCCCCCCGGGGTACCCCAGTTTGTCTGTCAGTTCTGCTCAGCTTGAGCATAGGGGAGTCTAATCAACACCCACTAGTTAGAGGACCATGGTCGAGGTAAGAGGTTTGGAATGTTTAACCTCGGAGTGCCTGCTGAATGGATGTGTGAGTGGAATGACCAGTGTAAGCAATAGGCTGCTCTATCTGTGCACCAAGACCAGGAAGCACTGATTTCTGCGGCTGACTGGGCCCACACCTGCAGTTCCATGGTGATCAACATATAGCATAATGGAGGCCTCACATCTTCCTTAGCTAAGTTGTGCCTAAGTCCCTGTGAGGGGCGCGGCCAAGTGGGCACCTGAATGGTGTCTCTGAAGGATACCAACCCCTTGTCTATTGTACCATCATTCAAAGGTACACAACACACATGTAAAAAGTCAAAATCCATGGCCTCTGACTGCAGGAAAAAGGGCTTTTATGAAGTTAAAAGTGAAACCAAACCACTCTCTGCATCTCAAAGGAACAAGAAAAGAAGCCCAGTCTTCCTGAATATTCTACCTTGGCACCCTCATCAGTACCACAGATGCTGCTAACAGTTTTACAGCCATTGCTTGTATTTAACTATACAGATCTTCCCACCGAACCTTCTGCTTCAGAGTTAGGCATATCTTACCAGTTGGGATCATCTAAAACCCACCTGAGATACTGTCAGCAATTCTTTGTGAGTTCCTCATTTTACCTGAGGATGAATGATGAATGAGTGTAGGCCTTTCCCAAAACATGCCCTGCCTAGAAACCTAAAATCAGCCAAGCACTTCTCCAAGATATCAAAGAGGGGAGCAAAAAGCCCAGCAATATGTCAGAAGTTACTGCTGTTAGCCAGAAGCCTGATATCCACAAGAAAATCAAGTCTGACAGATGATCACACCTTCTGACCAAAAATCAACATGCAAATTACAAGGTCTATGGACACTTTAAAAAAAAAAAAAAAAAGCCCATTCAAATTAAGATAAGAATTCTCAAAAGTTTCAACCTGGATCCAATACCAACCCTTTCATTGGTCTGATAGGCTCAGACTAGGCCAGAGCAGGCCCCTTTCTTCAGCTAGAAGCCCATAGTCATCAGGTAAGAAGGATTCTTGCCTCTCTCCCTCTGCTAGGCACAAACTTACAGCCCGTGAGGGTATCCCCTGGGTAAGTCAGTCGCCATACTGCTTCTGGGAAGAGACCTCTTCGAGTTAGAAACAACCATCTAAAGCACCAAGCCAGTCACCTCCCTCTCATTCCCCCAAAAGGAAGACGACCCCTCCATCAGCCTGAGACAGATAACCACAATCCTGAAATTCTGAAACTTCTTCTTCCAGAGGTATAAGCTAAACTCTGGACCTGGCCATGAACCCTGCAATTTCCTATGTCATGGGAAGCAGACACACATCCAGCCACACATCAGCCTGATGGAACCTAGAACACTCTGAGACTCTTAAAATACCTGATAGACTTAGAACACTTTTAGAAACATCTTAGGATACTCTTCTCCTGGTAATAACACCTAATAGGGATTACCAACAAATACAAGATCTTGTCATCAACAATGCAGCCATCACCTTGCATTCTGCAGTTTCCAACCAATACACACTTTTTGAACTGTTATCTCCAGGTAACACCTAGTTTATAATGTTCAGATTTAAAAGATGCCTTCCTCAGCTTGAGCTGATACTATAATCCGCTTCAACTGGGAAAATCCTCACACAAAACATTAGCTTATTTGGACTCAATTGCCATAAGGGGTTAAGAACTCTCCCACTATTTTTAGGGAGGCTCTGACAACAGATTTAGCCAAGTCACCAGGAATTTTTCTCTGAAACAGCCTGTTTTTCTGTCCCTTTCAACTCTGTCATGGGCCCCTGAGCAAACAGCATAGACTGTCAAACTGCTTAAATATACCTTTCCTGCCTGAACAGCCAGCTCAGGATCTCTGAACTGCCAATACATCTGCGATGGCCTTCCATATATGTTGCCTCAGTCTCTGTCACTCAACCTGCTAGACGTGACACCCACCTGGATCTAAAGAATGCCTTCTTCTGCCTTTGACTGGCTCCTGTCAGGCAGCCTTTCTTCACAACTAACCTGGACTCAACCTCTGAGAGGTTCAAAATCTTGTTTCCTCTTTGAAAAAGCACTTCTGATTAATCACACTCAAGCTGCCTGCTGGAAAGGCACAAAAGGCACCAACATCTGGCAGAAACTGGTTACAAGAAAATACTCTGCAAATTTCTTGGAGATGCTAGTAGCTTTTTCAGAATCTGGATCCTTGAGTTCACAAACACGATGCTTACTCAGACTGTCAGACCCTGAGAGTGCCCAGTGGATACCTGTACAAATAGTTGGATTTGGTTGCTAAAGGCTGCCTCCCTCCTTTGCCTTCACCCTTAACAGTCACTGTCCTTCTGATCAAGAAAGCTGACAAGCTCACCTTAGTATGAGACCTAACTGTCCAGGCACCACATGTTGTACTGGACCTCCTGAATAACTGTGGACCACTCAGTCCTGCCTGGTACCTGCCCATCAACCTGGGCTTACTAGACCATGAGTGAAAATAAACCCCAATAGATGCTGAGTATACTCTGTTGGTGGATGAAAGCAACTGGTAGGAATGGAGTCTTGACAGGCTAGATATGCTGTGGTTACCTTGGATAAAGCCATTTTGGCCAAAGCTCTCCTGCTAGTGCCTCTTGCTGTTACTTGGAAACCTGCCATCAATGATGTCAAACCTGCACTCTTAAAACCCCTCAGGGGATTCTACTGACTGAAACATCAATCCCAGATAGGAAAACTTTACTCGGTACTCCCAGAAGATCAGAGCCAGATCTGCCCTCCACTGTTTGTTCTGCAGGTTCAAGTCAGAGCACTAGCACCCATACCCCTGCAGCCAGCTCAAGCTTCAACATTTGTGCCACTGACCCTGACCTCCCCTCCCTTAAAGACATAAAGATACATGGCCTAACCTTGACAATTGAAAGCAACATTGGACCTGCATTTGCAGCAGAGATAACTAAATAAAACAACCTTACAGAAACAGCTTATACCTAGATCCATTAAAAGTTCAGTTAAAAGACGAGACATACCTGTAAATATTCTATACACACACACACACACACACACACACACACACATATATATATATATATCTCAAGTACATATTAACCACCTCTACAAGTTTCAGAAGATCTAGCCTTAGATCCACTGGAAAATTTACCTGGACCAGACAACTCACTCTGAAGAGATGATACACAGAAAGCCTTGTTCTGGTCACTCTCGATGATGACTAGTCTACGTATGGCTTCAGTCTGAGGACACAATTCACAGGATTGCTTCACACCTATTTCCCTTGACTTTTGTCTTTTCAGGCTGCCCGCCCCAGTCGTTACCTCCCTGCCCACCTGCTAGCTGTGGTTTTTGCTTTAAACCTATAGATGGTTGCCCCAAAAGAATAAAATCGAATATTTGACCAAGATTTGATATGCATCTAAGGTACATTGGATACCCTCCTGCACTAGATTAACTCTTTCAATACCTTGCTAGAGTAATGATACAAAATAGATAAGCCTAAATTATGTCTCTTCCTAAAAGCAACTTAAGGAAACACTTTGTAATAAGACAATTGGGGACCATGACTAGGGCCCATCTTAGGATTACTGACAAGCCTAATGTTACTGCTTCTAGTTGGATCTCGTCACATGGAATATGCACAGGAAAAATTTTCAAGGGGGGCCAGGGAGATGGCTCAGTAGAATAAGCGCTTGCCTGGCAAGCGCAAGGGTCTGAGTTCAAATCCCCATTTCTGCCAAAAAAAAAAAAAAAAAAATCAGGGGAAACTAGGAGGAGTGGGGGAGGGAATATAACAGAAAATTCGCCCCCCACTCCAGTCAATATACTTCAGATTTTTCACTGCCCCCCTAATAGATCCAATTGTGATGCCAGAAGCTTCTGCATCCTAGAAATGGCTGGTCACTGTGATGCATATTACAAGAACCAACCCCCAACTGATAGCTACTCTTCCTCTGCACTTGCTTAACCCATATATACTCTAGACCATCAGAGACAGGGGCTTGATATTTTTGCAATGATCCTAATCAGAACACATCAATGTACATAAATCTGCCTCCAAATTCTGGGTGTCATTTCAGTGTTTCTGCTTGCCACTGCAATGCCAAGATTACAGGTCAAGAATATAATCTTGCTGAGACCTATAATTCCAGCTACCTGGGAAGCTAAAGAAAAAAAAAAACAAAAAACCCCCACAAAATCAAGGTCAGCCTGGGAAACTTAGCAAAACCCTGTCAAAATTTTAAAATGAATAAAAAGAGTTGGGAAGTAACTTAGTGCTACAGTGGTTCCCTAGCATGCATGAGGTCCTAGGTTCAAACCCCAGTATTGGAAAGAAAGAAAATAATAATCTTGTTCTTTCTAATAAGAAATAGCCTAATAATTACCATAAAGAGATCTTTTGATAAAATTATTTAAAAGTTATGTAAACTAAGAACTGTTCTTTATTATTTTTATAATGTCTATATACTCAAATCCAAAGAAATTTGGAATTGAGTATTTTTTCACACAAGTTATTTTTCACATAAAAGCCTACAATCATTTTGAAGAACCTGTGGAATGAACATTTCAATCTATTACTGAACCTAAGAACCTTTACCGAATATGCCTACAGAATATATCTATCTTGTACTACACAGTCAAAAGATCTATGACAATAATCATAATTAGTGAGACAACGATTTGAGAATACACACTGATAAGCTATATAAATGCCAAACAATTTGTCTCTAGTCACTATCAGGGAATCATTATGTTCTCCTTAAAGAAAGCATCTGGAGACACAGGCTCATGTGATTCAATGACATTACCTGGACCATAATATTGTCACTTGATGCAGCTTCTTGGGCTTCATTTATCCAGCGTTTAACCACATCATAGCTTATCTTCATCATATGCTAAATGTGAGGTCAAAAGAGAATAATGTATGATCACTAGAAGTTTATAAATGAATTAATTTCCTTGCAAAATTACATTAGACATTTCTAAGAAAATTTTACAGCCAAATGTTCTGGTAAGGATTTATTAGGGAAAGGATTTAATATAAGACACATAATTTATAGGATTGTATTATAATATTCACCCAAAGAGTCAAATGCAAAAGAGTATGGGAGATCTGCCCACACACTAGAGACCCAAAGAATAAAGCTGAGGTCCTGGATCCCACGGCAATGTCTTATAAGAGTCCAGCTGAAGACCTACAGCCTGTGCCAATGTCTTCCACAAGTCCAACTGGAGGTTTAGAGCACATGACAATGTCTCATGCAAGTCTGTATCAAGGATCTGCACTGGGAAGGCCCAAAAGTCAGTGGTGGAAACTAGAAAGTCTGAAGGATCTGTGGCAGCAGCCTGAGGGATCTGCACTAGAGCCAGGAAGCAATGCCCACGGTAAGGACCAGAGCTTCCCCTAAAATAATTCTAGCTAGTCTCATCAACAGTGAGGTGCCAAACTTTTCTGATGACAAGAACAGCTGAGTTCATATCAGGAGAGCCAGAGAGACAAGCTTCTCCAGGAGAATCAATAGCACACCTCTTCATCTCTGGTTTCTTTTATGTTGTTGACAATAATCTTCAGGTGGGCCTTGCACACCCAGCATCACACTGATTCTGTTCAGCTGGGTATTATAAGGTGACCACTGGGGTCAGGGAGATGGCTCAGTGGAATAAGTGATTCCCTGACAAGCATAAGGGCCTGAGTTCAATCCCCGGTTTTACAAAGAAAAAAAAAAATCTGTTTCATGCATTGTGTTTCTTTGGGGCTGGGGAGAAGGCTCAGTAGGATAAGCGCTTGACTGGCAAATGCAATGATCTGAGTTCAATCCTCGGTTCCACCAAAAAAAATAAATAAAATAAAATAATACAAGGTGACCACTGATTAATCCACTACACTAAATAAGTCTAGTTCATATCTCCATTATAGGGGGCCTGGGAGATGGCTCAGTAGAATAAGCACAAGGGCCTGAGTTCAATCCCCGGTTCCGCAAAACAAAAACATATCCCCATTACTAATAAACCAGAAACATTTCCTTCAATACCTCTTTGCAACAGTTGAAATATATCTGTAAGCTGGAAAGTGTATATAAAAATAATGAAAGGCAAAGAGGAAAGAAATGGCTAGCTAAGAGAATGGTGTTTAAATACCATTCCAGGAAACTCCCATGAAGAAAGAAACTAAGCACAATATATTCCTTGCTATATAAACCAATCAATGACATTCCAAAATCAGGAAATCTTGTGATTTGGATGTTTTAACACATTCACATATTTATTACTGATTTTAATCAAATGCAATGTAACTCATCTTTAATGAATACATTTTGTTTTAATTAAAAGGATAAAGTAAAGTTATTATTAAAAACAAAGACCGCTTCCACGGAGGAAATTAAGAAGTAACACAGGAGACTGAATTGAAGTACACATGCAGATTCAAGGCATCAAGGAAAGACAGAGGCAAGATGTCAAAGTGCAGGTCACAAAGGACATTGTTTTAAGGAATGCTCTCAGTTTTTTCCCTGTCCTATACTTTACCCCATGGCATGCCTATTATATGCACAACTTTGAGACTCCCAAAACCTTTCAAACATGGCATTTTATGATTTTATTGTCCATTTTAGCTGCTAAAACACATCTGAATAAAGTAACAGAAATATATACATATATTTAAACCATGGCATTTTGCTTTTACAACTAGGAAATGTACCATAAATAAGATCCAGAAAACTGGTCTCTCACTTACTAAGGAAGACACCAGTGCTGAACTGGATACGCTGGAGACTTTGTCCACAATGGCCTGCTTCATGTACCTTTCAATGGCTTGTAACATCGTTCCCTAGTAACATTGAAAAAGAAAAAGCAATCGAAAAAATTGTTATACAACATCAGTACTTCAAAATAATTTATAAAAGCCAGTCATATATTTATACATAAATGTTTAAAATATTGAAAGATTATATAGCATAGTAATAATATCCCAGAGTGCAGAACCTAAATAATGTAGAAGTTTCAAAAAAGAACACTTAAGGTTATCATGTATTAAACTTTTTTTTCATGTAATAAACTTTAATTGTTCAATTATGAAACAAACTATCTCAAAGTGGAGAATGCTAGCTTGAAAGAAACACACAAATAGAAGCTAAATTTCTTTTTCTTTTTCTTTTTTTTTCACATCAGACTGGTAATTTGCTCACGTCGTAACAAGATTTGAGGGAGGCACATCTCATGCACAAGGCATGAACACCCAATCATCACACTCATGAGAATTTCTGAATAAGAGATGTTATAAATGAATTCCCATATGGGGATGGAGGCTACATTCCCAACCTCCTTTTTAAAATTTTTAAATTTTGACTCAAGGTTTTGCTAAGTCACTTAGTTGAACAGGCTGGGTTTGAATTTGTGATCCTCCTTTCTCAGTTTTCCGGAGTGTGGAGGCTACTTTTTAAGTCCTCAAAACACCTCTGCATGAAAAGTACATATTATATAAAGATCCAACTTTATAAATTAAACATAATTCATGATTATCTTAAGACACATAAATGCTCTCTCCAGAGAAGTCCCAAGTTAGCAAATCCTCAAAATCCTACTAAAGCAAGCCCTCAGCACAAAATCTTACGGAAATAAAGGTCTTTATTACTTTAACTAGGGAAAAAATCTAGGACTGGGAAGGCAATAGCAGATGAGTAAACAGATTAGGGTCAATATTCAAATAAAGAGTTTTAATGCTAGTTCTGGCTTGGTCTACTGTTACCTTACCAATTAAAACTAAAAACAACCGTGGCAAAACAACAGGGCAAAACAACAGACGCTAAATATTTCTTTTAGGGTCCATATCTGCCAAACTTTTAATTTGATTTGGCCCAAAATTTAAAACTTAGGAAGCTTTCAAATATATACACAAGCTATATCAAAACATGGGTATATAGCTCTTATTCAACTTGCTTGGCAATGGTGGTCTGCCCTTCAATTCAACCTTTCCTACTCAGAGTTCCTAGAACATACTAAATGAACTCACTACTCCAGATCTGACAGGCTGTATCAGATTAAAAAGTCAGACTTAGATTCAGGTGTATACAAGCTACTGGTTACTAGTGGCTATTACCCCTAAACTATCAATTATTCCCTTTCTCAGCTCTCATGTAATCCAAAATGGCCTGCAACTCCAACCTTACTCCAGTATAGCACCAAGAGAAAACACTGTAAATAACAAGAGTACTTTGATTTCTTTCTTGTGCATAGTCCTCTTTGACATAGGGTCTCTCTAAATGGCTTAATTATCCAAACAGGCTTAAACTTGTAATCTTTCTATCTCAGCCTTCCAGAGTGCTGAGATCAGAGATGTGTCTATGCCTGGCTTCTTTATTTTTTTAATACTAGAAGCAATAAATTTATTTTATAATTAATTTTCAAAATACTCAGTAAAGTATGAAATATACTTAAATCTTCCCTCACCTACCAAGCTTTTATTTATTTATTGCCAACATTTTAGTACCACTTAGAGGTAAGCACTATTAAGTATCTGCACAAGGGATCCAAGTCCAGGAAAATCATGGCTAACCACAGTAAATATCTAAAAATCTTGCTGCTAAACTCCTTAGATCTCCTTTATTTCATTTCTCTCTCTCTCTCTCTCTCTCTCTCTCTCTCTCTCTCTCTCTCTCTCTCTGTACTTGGGATCAAACTCATGACCTTGTGCTTGCCAGGCAGGTGCTTATGTCACTGAGCTATATCCCTGGCCCGCTATTTCTTGCTCTGGTAACTACTTACAAGCTTTACATCAAATTCTGAGTTACCTGTACTACAATTTTTAAAAAAAGTTTAAAGTCAAATTGTAATGAGTTTTATCTGCTATAAGCAATGTGCCCCATTAACAGTTCATGATAGCAAACACCCTATGGTGAGAAAACACACTACTCTAAACAGACAAAGAAGATAATGTGAAAGAAGATAAGGCTATTATAGACCCAGAAAAACCTTTTTGATGGTCATGTGTCTCTTACACAGGAGATTCACAAAATCAGACTAGGGATTCCTGCTAAATCAGAATGTTCCCTTTGGTAAATCAGTAAAACAAAGAGAACTTACATCTGTGATTCTGCAGAGTGCTCTGATGGCTGGGCCTCGGTACACATCTTCCTTTCCAGTCATGTCCTTGGTCAGACTAAGAAAAATAAAATTAGTTCTCTTAAGGTCAATTAAAATACTGACTCTTAAAAAAAGGGGGGGGGCAGGGAGATGGCTCAGTGGAATAAGTGCTTCCCTGGCAAGCACAAGGACCCAAGTTCAATCCCTAGTTCCAGCAAAAAAAAAAAAATAAATAAATAAAAATTTAAAAAATAAAATAAAATAATGACTCTTGAAGAGACCATTCCTAGCCAATTCCTAATTGTCCCCGTAATCATCTTAACAGCTACTGATTCAACAAATGCTTTCCAGGCAAACTCTTCGTACAAATATTTAACTATCATGTAGAAGCAGATTACAGATTATTCTAAATCTAAGCAATACAGTGGTGAGGAAAACAAAGTCCATTGCCTTCATGGAATTTAAATTCCAGTCGGAAGAGAGATAAAAATCAAATAAACAGACAAGAAACCATAATTTAAAAACTAATCATTGGCATAAAAATAAGGACAATGGTACAGAGACCCAAAGGCTAAAATTCACCCACATCCTAAAAAGTTATCAGGTTAGACCCAAGTTTTTATAAGAAACTAATAAAAAAAGACAGATTCATTAAGTTCTCTCTCACTCTGATGCAGTCTTCTAAAATCACAGTCATCAGTGAATCCCAAATCTTTCAGCTGAGCTTCAGAAACAGGCAGTGGCATGTGGTCTGAGTGACAAAATTCTACATCCATAATTTTAAAAGGTTTTAGCCTTTTGCCTTTTTCTTGTCTTTCATGCATTTATATCACCCCCAAACTATCAATTATCCCTTCTCAGCTCTCACATAATCCAAAATGGCCTACAACTCCAATCTCACTCCAATGAAGTACCAAGAGAAAGCACTGTAAATAACAAGAGTACTTTGATTTCTCTCTTTCTTGTGCACAGTCCTCTTTTTTTGACATAGGGTCTCCCTAAATGGTTTAATTATCCAAACAGACTTAAACGTGTAATCCTTCTACCTCAGCCTCCCAGAGTGCTGAGATTAGAGGTGTGTCTATGCCTGGCTTCTTTATTTTTTTAATACTAAAAGTAATAAATTTATTTTATAATTAATTTTCAAAATATTCAGTAAAGTATGAAATATACTTAAGTCTTCCCTCACCTACCAAGCTTTTATTTATTTATTTATTTTTACCAAGCTTTTAATACCACTTAGGGGTAAGCACTATAAACAGTATTTCATTAAGGAAAAAAAAACAAAAACACTTTAATGTCTATAATCCCAGAAAAATGTTTAAATATATAAACCACAGACATTTATTAAAATGCACATCAACAGCTCTTCACTTTGAAACCTTTCCTTTTGCATTTAATAACTTGAGAATATTTCCATATCAACACTAAAACAACATTCTTAGGTATCCATCCATGTATTTTTAGTTTGTTGTTGTTATCATTTTTGTTTTGTATTTAGTGCAGGGTCTACAGGGTCTCATTACACAGGTCCAACTTGCAGGGATTCTCCTGTGTTTAGCTTCCCAAGTGCTGGGATTATAGGAGTGCACCACCACGCCCAGTCTCATTCCCTGTCTCAGCACGCCCTCAAGGAATACAGGTAGCCTCCTAGAGCTAGAAGAGAAAAGGAAGCGCATTCCCTCTTTTTCTAAAATGAACCAGCTCTGCCAGTAATTCTAAACTTTAAGAGAGCAATCAGTACTACTTTAAACCATCTATTTGTTGTTTAGGTTATCAAGACTGCTAACTTGCTATAGCTGCATTAAGAAACAGGGTTGACAAGTTTTCTGGAAAGAGTGGATAGCTAAATATTTTAGATTTTGCAAGTTATGCATCTCCTCAAACCTACTCAATCCTACTGTAGTATGAAAGCAACCAGGTGCAATACCAGAGAAATGTGCATATCTGTGTTCCAATAACATTTTAGTTACAAAATTAGGCAATGGTTTGGGCTTGGACATAGCTTGCCAGCTCCTACTCCATGCGTGTCTCAGTTTGAGCTGCACTGGCAGCAAAGGTCTGCATATAGTAAGTTTACTCAGGAATGTATTCATAGAGAAAGGTGGAACACAGGAAAGTAAAAAAGGAGATTAAAAAAAAAAAACTAATATAGATGTTTTCTCAAGTAAGCAACTGGTGCTGGCAACTAGTTATTTAATGAGCAACCCCCTGAGGATCCTTCCTTTCAGACTTACTAGACTACCTCTTGCTGAGCAATAATCTGAAGAGTCAACTCCATGTTTCGAGAGCGTTTGCAGGTGAGTTGTTAGTGAGTGGCCAGCCCCAGAGGGCAAGAAATACAACACATGGTACATGCTTAAAATAAGGTACTACCAATGCAAGTAGACCCAGTCATGCACAGAATTGTTCCCCACACCTGTCTTCACTGCTGAGAGAAAATACCCAATGCCCGGAATTAAGGAAGGAAAGGTTTATTTAGCTCATAGTTTGTGGAGGTTTCAGTCCATACTTGGCTGGCTCTAAGGCAGAGTGGCACATGGCAGAGGGCAGCAGTTCATGGCAGTGGCAAACAGCAAAAGCAACAACAGCAAAAGGGAGGAGCAGCACAGAGTAAGCCTCTTTCCTTTCATTATATTGTATGCAGGCTGTTCGCCCCGGGGCTGGTGTAGCCCTCACATCCATAATCTCAGCATTGGACCATGAATCAATTTAAAATCTGTAGAAGCCCGCCCCATGACTGCATGAGGCTTTGGGGGGGACATCTAGACACAAACCATAACAACACAATAGCTGGAATCAAAGATAAGGCCTGAGACCATGTAAGATGGCACTAGAAGAGGCCACCCTTGCACCCCTCTAATTTGTACATGATCTCTAGTAAGTCTAATCTACTATTCAGACTTCAAGATAGAAGCCATCTACTTACTATTTTTACAAAAGACTAAATGCAGGAAGGTGAGTAGAAGATGGTATAATCCTTGCTGCTTCCCTGGCACCATCAGCTTGCTGGCCCTGCCCCTAGGAGCACTGAGCTGGCTATCTCATCCAGGCACGGTAGTGCATACCTGTAATCCCAGCACTGGGGAGGCTGAAAGCAGGAGGATCACTACGAGTCCGAGTTGCATAGAGACTGTATCAAATACATTAAAAAAAAAAAAATCCTGGCTGCTACAATTCATTATAAGACCACACTTAATGTTCACTATCTCCTTCATAAAACCACCTATTCTATTTTTCTGTTATCCTTAGCCAGTATTTAATCTAGATTTGGTAATTTCAACAACAGGTAATTTATTGGGCGGCCGGATAGCTCAGCGGATTAAAGCACCTGCTTAGGCAGACGTAGGGGTCAGAGGTTTGATCCCTAACATGCCCTGCTGGCCCCGCCCCCAGGTGCACTCAGACAGCGACTGAGACTGGGTGTCATGCGCTCGCCTGTAATCTCAACACTTGAGAAGCTGAAAACAGTAGAATCACTACAAGTCTGATCTGTGTAGTGAGAACTACTCTGGAGACCCTGCACTAAATACAAAACAAAACAAAACAAAACAAAACAAAACAGGTAACTCAAAACTTTATTCCAAAGGCCTTGAACCCTCTGTTGAATGTACCCTGTTTGGACCTTCAGTTTTCCCTATCCCTATTCCCTACTGTCAAAGATATAATAAAAATCATAAAAATATATCCAAGAGAATATGAACTCTAGCTATTGTCCCCACTGCCTCAATTACAAAGAAATAACCCTAGCTCCAGACAGAAATCAAGGTCAGTCACTTATCGCAAAGAAGAGTAGCTCCTACGCAAGGCAGCCCTTATCCCCGTCTTTTCTGCCATGGACTGTGAGATGCCTGCCGCTGTCAAATCGTCATTCAGGCACATCCAATCCAGAGGTGCAAGGTATTTCTGTGCTGGAAACAACCTCCAGCTTACAGGAACTAGAGTAAGGGGTTAAATGCTTCTGCCCTTTCATGCCTCTAAAAATTGTTCAAGGTGTGAACAGGATGTTGTTTTAATACATTCCTGCTACCATTATAAAATGGCCTGGACTGGAAAATTTATAAAGAACAGAAATGTATTTGCTAACAGTTTTAGAGGCTAGGAAGTCCACGCTCAAGGCACCAGCAGAAGTACATACGATGCCGAATGATTCATTCCTCACAGATGATACCACCTAGGTGTCCTCACATGGCAGAACCAACGGAAGACAGGGAGGCAGCACTCTGGAGCCTCTCTACAAGAACACTAACCCTATTCATGAGGATGAGGTACTACTTAATAGCATTACACTGGAAACTAAAATTTCAACCTGAATGTTCTAAGGATATAAAAATAAAGCATAGCAAATGCATAAATTATATAAGTGAGGCCTAAGGACAAGAGCCACAAGCACCCCTGGTCAACTTTGCTCCCACAGATCCCATGACATCATCATGGCTACCTGCCAGCTCTGCGCCCACTCCGTGTCTTGTTTCTCCTCAGCCCAAGGCAGCAGAGGCATCTACCAATCGACCAACCTGACCATGGAAGAAGCCAATGCTCTGGGAGAGAAGGTATGGAATAATGCACCAGTCCACCAGCACCAGCCCCAAGAGAAGAAATCCAATGCAACACTTGCCATACTGGAGAGACTTCAATGAGGATACATTTTAGGAAGGGACTAATTGTTTAAGACTGAACCATAGAAGAACTTCAGAAAAACTTCACTTAAGGTTCTCTAGCGTTACCTTACCACAGGGACTAGGTGAGAGATTACAAAAACAAACAGCCATAGAAAGGGTGCTGGCTAGATACAGATTTGTGGAGAAGTTTAAGCACAAACCAGGAAGAACACAAAGCTCTACCCTCTATGGTGAGAAGCCAGACCTGGCAAATGTGGCTTTCAGAAGCAGCAGGATCTGCAAGTGCTGGAATTCAGTGTAGAAGTCTGCTTAATCCCCCACCCCACTGCTTAAATCCAGCAGACACCTCATTGCCCAATGCTAGCAAGAACATGCGTTGGCTTGGACAGTTACCATACTTTGGGGGGTACAGACTCAGGTATCTCTGGAGCAGAAGGTGAACCTCACACACCCA